TACCTTTGGTTCTTGTTGCGACATAAACAACGGGTCAAGGTCCTATCATAAACCTGATTTAGCTTTCCTGGAGTTTACAAATCCCTTGTCGTGCTGTGGGTCTCATTGTTCTCTTTGGGGTTCTCATCACCTATGATGAAGCATCCAAGGCCATATAAGCTGAAATGATTAAACGATTGTGGAGAAATCAAGGTAAATAAGCAAGTTCTGGTTTCATTCTCTATTGGACAATATAAGGATGAGGTACTTTGTGATGTGGTTCCTATGCATGCTGGACATTTACTTTTAGGGAGACCATGGCAATATGATCGTAGCGTAACACATGATGGCTTCAAAAATCGCTATTCATTTGTCATGGAGGGAAAAACAATTACTCTTGCACCATTAAGTCCAAGGCAGGTTTATGAGGATCAACTGAGAGTAAAAAAAGAGAGTAGCAGAGAAATGAGAGTGAGCTTGAGGGTATGAAAAACAAAGAGGAAACAGCAGAAAAAGAGTCCAAAAAGAGAGAAAAGATTGAGAGTGTTGAAAACAAAGAGAGAAAATCAGTGAGTATTTATGCAAAAGAAAGTGATGTCAAGGCTGCATTCTTTGCAAAGCAGCCTCTGTTTGTGCTTCTTTATAAAGATGCTTATTTCAACACTAACGAACTTAATGATTCTTTGCCTAGTGTTGTTAAATCTCTTTTGCAGGACTTCAAGGATGTGTTTCCAGATGACGTTCCTAATGGCTTACCACCAATAAGAGGAATCGAGCATCAAATTGACTTCATTCCTGGTGCAACAATTCCAAACCAACCAGCATATTGAAGCAATCCCAATGAGACGAAAGAACTTCAAAGGCAGATCGAAGAACTCATGAAAAAGGGACATGTGAGAGAAAGCATGAGTCCATGTGCAGTTCCAGTGCTACTTGTGCCTAAGAAGGATGGGACTTGGCGTATCTGCGTTGATTGTCGCGCAGTCAACAAAATCACTGTAAAGTATCGTCACCCTATTCCTAGATTAGATGACATGTTAGATGAGTTGCATGGTTCTTGCATATTCACTAAAATTGATTTAAAGAGTGGGTATCATCAGATTAGGATGAAGGAAGGTGATGAATGGAAAACAGCCTTTAAAATGAAACATGGTTTATATGAGTGGTTAGTTATGCCATTTGGATTAACTAATGCACCTCATGCGATTAATGAATCATGTTTTGCGTGCTTTCATTGGCAAATTTGAGGTTGCATATGGTTTTAATCCACTCACTCCTTTGGATTTATTACCATTACCTATTGATAAACAAGCTAGTTTGGATGAGAAAAAGAAACCTGAAATGGTTAAGCAACTACATGAGAGGGTGCAACAAAACATAGAGTGACGAACTCAGCAATATGCAAATCAAGCCAACAAAGGCCGCAAGAAAGTTGTGTTTGAACCTGGAGATTGGGTTTGGGTGCATATGCGGAAAGAGCGATTCCCTGCACAAAGGCATTCTAAGTTGCAGCCAAGAGGCGATGGACCATTTCAAGTGATTGCAAGGATAAACGATAATGCATACAAGTTGGAGCTTCCTGGTGAGTATAATGTTAGTGCTACTTTGAATGTTTCTGATATTTCTCCTTTTGATACAGGTGACGATTTGAGGACAAATCCTTTTGCGGAGAGAGGGAATGATGGGAATCAAGATGACCCCACATGTACCACGTCAAGAGATCCATTACACATTCCAGGAGGTCCAGTCATGAGAGCTAGAGCTAGGAAGATGCAAGAAGCTTTAAATGGCCTTATTGAGCAGATCTGGGTTGATAACAACATGCAAGAATTAAATCGAAGCTTGGATGATTATCAAGCCATGATAAACATTATTCAGGTTCAAGAGAAGCTTAATTGAGGTCATTTATACTAAATTACACAGTTTGCGTTAATCTCGCAATTCTGTCACAATTTGTAACAAACTGATATTTCATGTTACTTTAGGTTACTTTTAGTGATTTTCACGTTTTTTATATTATTTTGGGCTGAACATTCATTTATTTAAGGCCCAATTCGTGGTTATTATGATTAGGGCTTAGGGTGTTAGTTTCCTATTCTGATTAGAATTACTTTTCCCCATTTAAAGGGGCTTGTAACCCTAATTGGGAGGGTATTGAATCTGAGATTTTGAGAGACTTTTCTCTTCGGTTCGTTTCAGAACTTTACAGAACTTATCAAGATTATTCTTGTGGCGTTCTAACCTGACTTATCATTCTCGTTCTTAATCGTTCGAAGGTGTGGCGTCAACCAACTTTATACCTCTGGTTCTTGTTGCGTCATAGACAACGGGTCAAGGTTTTTACCTTTGGTTCTTGTTGTGACATAAACAACGGGTCAAGGTCTCATTATAAACCTGATTTAGCTTTCCTAGAGTTTAGAAATCCCTTGTCGTGCTGTGGGTCTCATTGTTCTCTTTGGGGTTCTCATCAGTTGCATTTCTTTGAATTCATCATTAACAACCAAATTGATAATGTGGGCAGCACACCTCATGTGTAAATCTTTCCCTCCAAGAATACTAGTGCCCCACTTTTGCAAGCATCCTTTCAGTTCGAACTAGTACATCATTCACACTAACACTATCTAAAGTAACAAAATAGACCTTATCTATCCCCCACTCTCTAAGACATCTCTCAAGCATGTCACCTAAAGCATCACTTTTATGACTATCAACAGGAACAAAACTCAGAATTGTTTTTTGCAACTTCCAATTAGCATCAATCCAATGAGCAGTCACACACATATAAGAATCCCTTTGCAGTGATGTCCATGTATCAATTGTTAGAGATACCCTTTGATTTCCATTCTTAAAATATGTTTTCAAATCATCTTTCATTTCAGAGTAAATGCTTAAAATATCCATTGTGATAATAGTCCTACGAGAAGGGATGTTAAATAATGGACAAGCTACTTGACAGAACTTCATAATCCAGAATGTTCAACAAAAGAAAATGGAAGCTCATCAACAATAAGCATCTCAGCCAATGCTTTCCTAACAGCTTGTTCATCAAATTTTGGTGATGTTGTTGTCAACTGAGTTACTTCTCTATCATCTACATCATCAACCTCTAACACTTTTTGGAAGTTAAGTAAAGTCTGTTGAGTCTTAACATTCACAAGATTCAATTTACAACTATTATAATGGTTTTTCAATGGAGTAATTCCATTGGTTCTAGACTCAGCACCTAAATCATACCCACAGAAATGACACCTAGCCCTAGTCTTACCATTCTCATCAATAAATTCATCAAAAAATTTCCATACCCATGCCCTGCACTTCATAGGTTTTCTTTGGACTGAAAGGGATGGTCCGGCTCCAGTAGCACTAGCATCAATGTTTGCTTTGTCTAATTTAGCATTTGTGCTTCCATCCATTGTGTTCTTTGTTGCATTGTCTCCTACAGCTATTGTGCCTGAGTTTGTCTCCTTTAACTCCTCAATACTCTCACTATTCTCCATCCCTACAAAGAGGCATAACATAAGAATAAGTGATGGGAATCAAGACGACAGCATATCTACCACATCATGTGATCCATTACACACCCAAGGAGGTCCAGTCACGCGAGCTAGAGCTAAGAAGATGGGTGAAGCTTTAAATGGCCTTATTGAGCAGATCTGGGTTGAAAACAACATACAACAAGCAAATCGAAACTTGGATGATTATCAAGGCATGATAAACATCATTCAGGTTCAAGAGAAGCTTAATTGAGGTCATTT